GATTATTTTTTTAAGTTTGCCTTCTGGGTTCTGAGCCTTGGCGGGGGCAGGAGGGGGTACGGGGAGGAGGGGGTGTCACCTTTTTGAACTTCTGAAACAGGAGGGCTAGAAACCGGTTTTTAAAGAAGATAAAGCCAAGGTTCACATAATCACAGGGCTCCAGGAACTGGGGCTTAACATTTGATTGGGGGGGGGGGAAGAGGAGGTTAAGAGGCTCATGATAAAATGGTGAGTTGACCACACTGTCTACACAAGCGGGGGCGTGAAGACTGCAGTGGGGCCTTTCCATTTCCAGCACCGAGTGCAACAAAGACCTCAGACCGCGCCCAAAGCTGCACTGCGCTTGCGTGCATGGGGTGGGGGTGGCAAGCACTGTGCATCTAGGCAGTTGAGTAACGTTACTTGGGCATTAAAGCAGCCAAGTAATCTTGTTTGTGTGCTGCATATTCAGGCTGAGAGCAAGGGTTTTGAGGGGGCAGGGGAGACCAAGGGGAGGACCCTCAGCTCCCACTGTGACTCAGTGCCCCCAGTTGGGAAGTCTGAACACTGACACTTTCAGAGGCACACAGCGGTGCTTGGTTAGGAAGAAGCTCCGAGGAAGTACTCGGAGAGGAAGATGGTTTGTAGCCCAGGAAGGGGCAACTGTCAGAGCGAGGATCGTTCTGAGCATTGGCAGGAGCCATGACGCTGCTCTCTATCAACTTCATCAAAACTGTTCCCTCCCCTGGATTTCCCACTAGGACTCCCAAGATCTCCTGGGGCGAAAAGAAGAGCCCAGCTTCCCCACACTGTGGCAAAAACACTGGGAAGTGCCCGCTGCTCCCCTGGCTTGGATGACCAGCCCTTCACAGCAGCTCACCCACCCCTCCTCGGCTGGCGCAGCGGGAGCTCCCCCAATTTTACTGAATGGCAGAGACCGTCACCTATACAGTACCAAGCACACCTTTGGTTAGATCTACGGCGCACGGCTCACAAACGGATTTAGATCAAGAATCACCATCAACATGCAGTTGCTCAACGTTGAGAGAGGCAGACCTGAAAGGGGCTGCAAAGCTCACGGTGGTTTATGCTTTGGTTGGGGGGGGGGGGGGGGGGGGGGGGGGGGGGACGGGCAGAGTGGCTTGTTCTGACGTTCCTCCCCCATCTCATGAGCGCACACAGCTCAATGGTACTTCAAACAAACACTTTCAATTCATAAGCCAGCCACAGTCTGCACACACATTGCTGCCTCCCCCCCCCCCCCGCCCCACTTCCCCCTCAAGCACGGCTTGCTTATGTTCGCATTTGCCACTCTCAGAACAGGAGAAACTTGTCTTCGGTCTTGAAATCTGCAAATATTTCAAGGTGACAGTTCCCTGGAGCATTTGGCGTTCACTGGATGTGCCCCTGGGGATGACGGCTTGGAGTTACTAGGCTCACTGCTGCTTCCAGCAAAAGTGTGAGAGAGTGCGCGTGGTGGTAGGTGTGAGTGTGAGAGTACGGACCGTGTGCGAGAGTGAGAGATGGAACAAGGAAGGGAGTGGTGGTAGGTGTGTGTGTGAGAGAGAGAGAGAGCGAGCACGAGCGCAAGGAAGGAAGTGGTGGTAGGTGTGTGGGGAATAGATAGATGTGTTCAGACCAGAAACCTTTTCCATCTTGGGGCCTCCAAACGGATTCCAAGATTACATTTTCACAAGTGCCCATTCCAAAGGAGCTTTATCATTAAGTTCATTTTGAGGGCGGGGGAAGGGGGGGGGGGGCGCAAATCTAAAGCTAGATAACATATACATACACACACTCGAAACCTTAGTAAGTCCAATGCAATCAAATATGCTCGCAACCGAGAGTCCTTTCTGCAAGAGGTCAGTATGCATTTACCCGGAATCACTGCTACTTTCACACAGCAGATGTCTTCGCCCCAATTGACAGCAACTCCTGCTTTTCATTCATATTTACTCAGCACGCAATAATTCTCATGCAATTCACAAGCTTGTTTAAGACAATTTAACAGTCGAGTCTGAACGGCTTCAGTCTAAGACCAAAATCTGGTTCGCTTTTAACTCTCTAGCTGGGTAGGTGTCAGAAAAATCCCACCCCGCCACTCTCTGCAGACCCTGAACCAAGTTTCCGCCCAGTGCCAAAGCGCCTACCGCAGAGTTAAACAACTGCTTAGGATTCCTACAGAGGACGGAGACAGCACTCCAGCAGCAGCGCGATCATTTCAGATCCAGAGATACTAGACTCTTAATCCTTACAAGAGGCAAAAAACCTGGAGTAAATCTCAGAGGATTAGTAAAAATCAAGCAGTTTGATCTTGCCACCATGTAGTGAAGTCTCCAGACACTAGGGGTGTTTATTGGCACAGGGAAAGCTGGCAAAGGAAAATCCTTCATTCTTAAAACTGGATTAGCGTGCTTTGGTATGCTGCAGGATTCTTGGGCTTTCCTGCACACCTGCTGGTACTGCACCTCTGGCGAGAGCACTTAGCAAAAACCCCACTTATCTCCTCCCATGAGTTTCTTCACCTAGCTTTTAGGGAGATGGAAAAAATGCCAGGCTAGTCCAGGATCTTATCAATGGACAGGTCTGTGCATATTCACCACGGTAAGTCAGAACCAGAAAGGGAACAGTCACAGTCTAGCACTTTAGGCCTTATGGAAGAGGGCAGCCTGGAGGCCCGGACCAGCTTTTAGAGAGTGTTGAGCAGGTGGCTCTTCCCAGCCTTGGGACATGGAGTTAGGAGTGGGTGAAGGAGACAAAAGAACCAGTCAGAGAATCTTGGGTGGAGCAGAGAGGCTGGGACATCCCATGGGAGGAAATGAGATCAGAGAGCAGCCTGCTTTAGAAGGTGAAGACAAGAAGCTTGATCGGAATAAACCAGTGCAAAGATGCAAGGGATAGGAGCGCAAGGTGATCCTGGGAGCAGCATTCTGGACACACTGAAGGGATGGAAATGGGGAGAAGGATCTACCACCCATAGCAGGAAATTAATATCTCATACTCCCATCCAAGCTGCAGCAGAGAGGAGGGGGAAGAGAGAGAGAGAGAGAGAGAGAGAAACACACAGGGCTTAGATGCTGGGAGAGGAGTCAGAGATCCCACCAAGGTTAAGAGGCCAGGCAGGAGTATCATAACACTGCTAAAAACAACTCAGAAGGGGAAGAAAATGGAAAAAAGTCCACTTCAAACCCTTTCATGATTGTGTGGGAGCAGGGCTGTGTGTGTACATGGCAGGCGCCCAGCAGCCTCTGAATGAATGCAAGTTACAGCTACTGTCCAAAGCTCAAGAATCTAGTACCAAGCTGGATAGAGTGGGGGGGGGGGGGGGAAAATCTCACTGCAGTGCTTGATTTTTCAAACTGGTATCCTGGGTGTAGCATATTTTTAAGCCAGCTGAAAAAACCAAAGTTACAAATTAACCACTGATTTGACTCTGGATAAAGCAACAACTAAACCAAAGCAAAAAATCCTACTGCAGAGCTTTAACCCTTTCCATGAACCCAGCCCCCTTTGAGTGATGGGACAGAAAGGAGAAGAATCCAGACTGACAGAGGCCTTGGCTACACTGGCGCTGTACAGCGCTGCAACTTGCTGCGCTCAGGGGTGTGAAAACGTCCCCCTCCCTCCCCGAGTGCAGCGAGTGCAGCGCTGTAAAGCGCCAGTGTAATCAGCGCCTACAGCGCTGCACGTTCGCTCGCAGCGCTGCAAGCTACTCCCCTCGGAGAGGTGGAGTACATACAGCGCTGCGAGAGCTCTCTCGCAGCGCTGGCGGCGCGACTACACTCGCACTTCACAGCGCTGCCACGGCAGTGCTGTGAATTCCCAAGTGTAGCCAAGGCCTAAGAGGAGTGTAGGGCTAACATCTGTCAAGATCGAGGGCAGGCTTAGAGAGAACACATGCGGCCAACAGACTAATGCATGTCTACTATGTACTACTGCTCACACACCACACTAAGATGTGTAAATTGCTCAGCAGGCAGAGTGTTGTGTGGTCTCATTACACTCCATTCTTCTCCTGGGAATGCAACAACTTTTGTTTGCTTACAGTTTCCTTTTGCATAAAAGGAAAGAAAACCTGGACATTCCACGGTCCAGGTCAACAATCCCAAAGCTGTCAAGCCAAAGGAGAAGTAGGGTGGTTTGTCTGCAAAAGGCGAGATTTGGGGTAGAGAAGGGCTCATTTAGGGAGCTGAGAAACATACATTCCTTCCTAAAGGAAGTCAAGTCAGCGATCCCTGGAAGGAACAGTCTGACAGCGGAGCTACGGAGTTCAGCGGAGTTTGCAGGTAAGCAGACGGTGACTCTCTAAATTGGCTCAAGACATCCAGGCAGGCCCATAACCTCACCTAGACAGTGCAGCAATTCCTAAACTATGGCGCTATAACTCCAGGTGCCAGGAAGAGGAATGCCTTCCGTAGCCACCATCTCATCGTCAGTCACTAGAAGCAACACAGGCGGCGGCCACATTCGCTCTGCGGAGACCGTAAGTAACTATTAACCCCGCTTTACATCATTCCACTTGCTCATTCAGCTGCGGGCCAGGAACATTCTCACTCTTCTTCCATTTGCTCGGGATTGTCCAAACCAGAAGGCAGCACAAGCCAGGCCCCAACCTGCTGCCCCCGAGGGTAGGGAGGGAGAGCAGAAGCATACATCCCGACTGGGCTGTAGTGGGGTTTTCGGGACTGCTCTGGGCTGGCCCCTCTCTGCTTAACTGAGAAGGGAACAGGCCTTGGGAAGCCAGTCCCAACCCCACCCCAGCGCCCAGGGCCCCCACCCCCGCCTGCTCTAGGCGGGCCAGCAACAGGGAAAAGGCTCCCGGGGCTGCCAGCCGGGCAGGCTCCCAAAGCAAAGCAGGTCACTCGGGGAGAAGCAAACCCTGTTCCCGGGGGCCGAGGGCGCAGCAGCTGCCCCGTGCCAGGGTCCGGCCCCGCAGCGCGCACTGCCCCAGGCCTGGGGAGGGACCGACCGGGCACTGCCCCCCCCCCAGGGCTAAGCACCCCCCAGCCCGGGGGACTCACTCTTGTGCTTGCCGCTGCCCCAGGACTGCTTGGCGGCGCTGGGGCTCCGGATGATGGCCCGGCCCGCCGAGCGCAGCGCCTCCATGGCGCGCCCCAAACTCCTGCAAACAAACTTTTCCCGGCGCGGCGGCGGCTGGTGCTGCGGGCTGGCCGGAGCCGCCTCCCGGCCCGGGCGGTCGAGGGATGATCGCGTGGGGGAAGTGGGAGGATCTCTCTGTAAATCCGCCCGGGGGGGGGTGCGGCTGGTGACGCGCGGCTGCTCCCTCCCCGGCACCTCCCCGCCCCGCTGGGCTGGGGCTGGAGCCCGGCCAGGTGGCAAAGCAGCTGCCCCGAGCAGCCAGGGGGTCACTGGCCCAGGAGTGTCATGTCAGGCCTGGGCCCCACTGGGGTTCCCCCCATGGGGTAGAGAATCATAGACTATCAGGGTGGGAAGGGACCTCGGGAGGTATCTAGTCCAATCCGCTGCTCAAAGCAGGACCAATCCTCAGACAGATTTTTGCCCCAGATCCCTAAATGGCCCCCCTCAAGGATTGAACTCGCCACCCTGGGTTTAGCAGGCCCATGCTCAAAGCACGGAGTGGTCATGTCCCTGTGTTGCATAAATGTGTCATCAGGACGGGACACAATGGCCTCATGTTCCCCAAGCAAGGGGCTTTAATTGCCCATGTCATTTGATCACGTGGCAGCCACTCCTCAAATACTGGGAGCCTCCCTGTATTATAATGAAGGAGGCCCACTGCTTAAATCAGTCAGCTCATCTAGCCCCACCCACATCCAGTAATGCCTTGGCAACTCCGGCATGATTTTGCCCCCCAAAAGCCATATTATCAAATCAGCGGTCTTTTCACAGTTAAACTTTCCATCCTATTTTATGGCAATGGTGACCCTCTTTCATATAAGCTTGATTCACCATTCTGATAAGTCCAGCGTGTATTTGGATTTTGAATTGAAAATCATTTACACCGTGTGATTACTGCATTGTATAATGTACAGACCATGGAAAGAAGCACCGAGAACGACTATCAAAAGACTTTAATGGGTTCAAAAGGCATGGGAAGAACAATTTTTTGTTTTGTTTCCTTAAAGCCTCAAATGTAGTCCAAGCAAATTCCATGCAATATTTTAGTATCACATTTAATAAAGGGCTATACATGTGTAACTCCATGCATGTGTAGCTTACTTGATTTCAGCTGGCTACAAGGATGATTTAAACATCTGTGCCTAAGTGTTGGTAGGTTTAGGGCCTAGTGGGCTTGTTGAGATTAAAGGGATATTATCGGAAGTGGGCAGGTTAGGCCCAAAATGTAGATTTTGTCAAATAATTATTTTTACAGGTTTTACAGAACTTCCTATTAATAGATATATTTTAATGTAACTGAAAACAGCTTTTTGATTGAATTTAAACATTCCCATCTGGTGTTGGCAATCCAGACCTTGCAGCATTGCTCTGGTACAGAAAGCGAAAGTGATTTAGAAATAAAAGTAGAATTGACTCAGCTATTTCCATTGTCCAAACTGACTGAAATGCAAGAAAGGGATAAACTGCACGAATAATGAAAAGTAAATTAGATTAAAGATAGTCTTTCGGTTTTAACAATCTAACCTATTAGTAATATTTCCCCCCAAAATACACTGTCTGATTTTTAACCTGACAGTATCCCTTTAAGAGCAACAGCTGTGGTCTGAATTTGAAACAGGAGATTTAAATTAACTGCTATCAAAAGATACAGCTGGTTGTCTAATGTAGCTGGTAAATAACAGCATAGGCATGTTGTAAGTGTATAATGAAGTCAGTTTAAAGGTCCCTGTAAAGCTGTAGGCCCCGATTCAGCAAAACCCTTAAGCATGTGCTTAAATCCATCCCTGTTCAGCAAAGCACACAACCATATTTGCCTTTAAGCACATGTTTAAAGCGGCATTGAAGCCAAGGGGTTTAAGCACACACATAAATGCTTTGCTGAATCGAAGCCCTGTGGCTGAGAGATGTTGGCTGAGCCTGGTCCCCAAATTACAGTGCGCATTGTGCTGGAGTGTTTCATCCTTGCCAACCGCTGAATGGCCAATCCAGAGACTCTTTAAAATTCTGTAACAAACTAGGCTGATAAATCCACATGGCAGGCTTTTGATGCAGCCGTGTTCTATTTTTCCTTTTTTCTGGTCTACAGTTTTCTGTGTTTTGCACCATCGTCAGCTAAGTGTATCACAATGTTTACCTCGGGCAGCAGCTTCAGCACCTTCGCACAGCTTCCTTCCCACCGCTTCCCCTGTAGCAATTGCACAAACAAGCCACTCGTCAAAACAGGGCATGCTCCTGTCTTGCGTGCAGCACCCTCGCACATGCAGTATTCCCTGCTCGGCCATCCGTCCCCTGCCAACAACTTGTACGTGTTGCTGACTTTTTTAGCTTCCTTCACTGTGCCCGGCCTACATTCTCAGACACTGGGGTGTTGATGGTCTGGCTGCACAGGGCTGGTTTTTTTTGGATGCTGATGTTTTGAGCACAAACTCCAGCTGCAATGTGTCCTCCACTGCTGATTTTTTCCCAGTGAACTGCCAGCGTCAGTGTCAATGTTTTCCCCTGACTGTGCTGAAAACGCCGTCTCAGACGGTAGGGCTGTGTGGGAGTAGCAGAACATATTTCTCCAAGTGTCGCAGCAGCTTGAGAGGGAGAGACAGTGACAGCATGACGGCAGCCGGAGTGAGAGAGGCTAGTAATCAAATCAAGGTCTCCTGCACGGCCATGCGGCACTTCCAAGCCAGTCTCCGCAAAGGAATAATTTATGTTTAAAATAGCCTTGTAATCTAGCAAGCTTTAAATCTCAGCCCTTAGCTGCGCCATCTATTAGCACACCCAAAACTCCAGGGGCCTCTGTTCAACTTGTCTTCACTTTCAAGGCCCTTCACGCTGTTCCCACCCTAGCCATCTTCTCTCAAAAGGTCGATTCCCGCCTCCAGCCAGCCCATGACGCCAGCCTCCAGGGCCCACTTGTTAAATTTTCTAACAAGCCCCTTCATGCTTTCTCCCATCCTGCCCCTCTTGTTTGGGGAAAGCTCCCTTGAAAACATCTGCAAAACTAACTCCTTCTCCTCCTTCAAATCCCTTCTCAAAACTCTTCTTTGCCAGGAGGCCTACAAAATACTTGACAATGGCGAGGCTGCTTGTGTGCTGAGACCACTGCCTGTCATGCTGACCAATATCGTCTCACTGTTCCCCTCTACTACCCTGTTGGTCTGTCTCTATCCATCTGGTGTCTCATGTCTTATACTTAGATTGCAAACTCTTTGGGTCACGGTCTGTCTAATTCTAGGACGGGGGCTCCTAAGTGCTACGATAATACAAATAAATAATAATAATAATAATAATACAGAGAGCCACAGGTAGATGTGTCTTTCTATTGGGGGAAATACACTTGCAAATACACATTTGCTGCAATCAATGTTTCATTGGCCATGCATTGTTGCAAGTTACCCTGATTACAAGTCAAGGTAAGTCCCTATTGGTGTTAGCTCCAGTGATTAAGTGGCAGTGTAGACACATCCCATTTTCAGGGTAATACAATCAGTGGTAGTGGTCCTTCCACTGCTGCCTCACAATCCACAGAAGAGGCCCGTATGGTCCCCTTTCTGCACTCCACTGTCCAGGAAAGTCAGCTTGGCCAGAAGCCACCTACCTTGTTAGTTGTGCAGACAGCACAGCCCTCACTTGCAAGCCAATTTGTTTTGTGTTCTCTCTGGGCAATTCAGAGCTTCACACATTACACCGCTAGTGACAGATTTATATGCACTAATATTCAGAATAATGCTTTGCACTTATATAGCACTTTTCATAGGAGGATTTCCCAGTGCTTTCCAAACCTTAATGAATTTAGCGCAGCTCATCCCCGTGGGGTGTTGTAACTAAACCTATTTCACTGCTGGACGAACTGTGGCACAGAGCAGCTAAGCTAAGGCTCAGATCACTGAGTGAGTCATTGGGAGAGCCAGGACTAGACCCATTTCCTTGCTCTTGGTGCTAGATAAACCCTCTTCCATTCGGATTCACTAGAGGGAATTGGTTACAAGGAAACAGTTCTCGCCATGATTTTTACTTTAGTCATATTGGTTTCATCAGCGATGGATTGGGGTGGAATAAAACAGAACTGGTGGTGTGACTAAATGCACCACTGCCCTCCACTGGATGGAATCAGGACTGCTCAAATGTGCTCAGGCCTTATACTGCTACTAGCTAGGCAAGTTTCTCCTTTAGCTGAGGTAGCAGCCGGCTGTTTTGCAGCATGAGCCTCTGAGTTTATCCCTGCTTTTTGCAAGAAGAAGTTTCGATTTACCATGGTGTGCACCATAGTAATGGCCATGAAATTCTAAGGCAGGCCCAGATTTGCTCCAGTTTTAAATAATACTTAAAAAAAAAAAAAAAACCCAAAACACCCTCTCAATTGTAAGACAGCCACAATCAAGGCAGACAGTGAACTAAGCAAACTCTATCACAGCTGCTGGGTGTGTGGGTCTTTCCAGTTACTTAAGAGCCAAAGACAAAAGAGTGCATTGCCAGAGAAAGCGTGATCTACTGTCTAGATCAGTCAACCTTTTTCAATCTGGGACCCTCTCCCTCCCCCTCTCCATCTAGCTGGGAAGGGTCAGGTGGCCATGCCCCCCTGTCACCTGTTCACAACATCCAGCTTGAGAACCTCAGGATGGGGATTCCTGACACTGACTTACTATGGGGCTGTAGACTATTTCCTAACAGCTCTGTGCCTCAGTTTACCCTTCTGTAACACAGGTATAATTCCCACCATATGGGAGTGCTGGGAAGCTTAATTAATGAAAGTGTGTGTGTTTTTAAAATGAAATGAAATTTGATTCTCAGAGAGATGGCTTTACAGAAATAAATAGTATTAAAGTACGGTACAAATAAATGAAACCTGACCCCACAGGGCTTTTAGTGAGGCCTTCTGTTAATGGCAACTATTTTACATTCCTGTTGCACTTGACTGCCACGTGGATTATGCTTTTGTCCACACAAAATGCTTTCTGCAAGTCACTGATTGTACCAACACTGGCCAAACTGTGCACGGGCATCCCCCTTTCAGGTCAATGGGACTTGGATTGGGCCCCATCAACACAAAAATCTGCATCAGATTGAAGGGTTAAAATTTGGGCCGCGTAAAAATCTCTGGG